TCTCTCTCTCTCTCTCTCTCTCTCTCTCTCTCTCTCTCTCTCTCTTTCTTTCTTTCTTTTTTTTTTTTGACAGAGTTTCTCTGTGTAGTTGTAGTGCCTGTCCAGGATCTCACTCTGTGCACCAGGCTGGCCTTGAAATTCACAGAGATCCACCTGACTCTGCCCCCAGTGCTGGGATTAAAGGTGTGCATCACCACTGCCCAGCTCAGATTCCCTTTCTAGGATTCTGGAGTTGAACATGGATACAAGTTCTCACTGAAACAATTCTCTTCTTTCCTTCTCACTATTGTTAGTAGAGCTGTGAAGATTAGGCTTCCCCACCTGTTTCTTGTTCATTTTCACATCAGAAATAGCGCCTACCTGAGAGCACTCTAAATGATAGGATTTTCTTGGTGAACTTTATAATTTACATTGTCAGGGGGATCTTGATCTGTGTGGAGTTTGTCAGTCAGAACCTAAAAAACCATATTTTGTGAAATCATTTCTTGTGGATAACTCTTGGGTCCTTTCTTTTTTAAAAAGGAGACTCAAAAGTCAAAACTTTGCTCATTCTGAATTCAGCTCCATGATCTGTAATTTTTGTAGACAGGCCAGATTTGATTTTGCCGTCTGCAAGTCTGAAGTTTATAATGCATGTAATTTGATTTTCTTTCTCTAGAGGTATTTTATCTATCTGATATAAGTCTTTATCAGCTTAGGCAAAGTAAAATTCGCCATAAAAGTTATTGTCAAAGCCTTTTCTTTTAAAGATACTGTTAGAAATTCGCTAATTTTAAAAGACTTTTGTAGGATGGGTATTAAACTTACATGGCCTATAAATTCTAAGAATGTTTCATATTCTCGAATCTACTTTTTATCACACTAATTTGTGTTTTTCTCTGTGTGTTCATTTGCATGTGTGTGCATGCATGCAAGTGTGGAGGCAACACAGAGGTCAACTCTGGGTGTCAGTGCCCAGAAGTCATCCATTTCTTTTTCTTCTTTAGAAAAGCTATTTCTCTTTTTTTTGGCTGCAATTGGCCAAACATGTTAAGCTGGCTGTTCAGCAAACACCAGTAATACACCTGTTTCCACTTCCCCAGGGCTGGGATTGGAGATATGTGCCACCATGGCCAGCCTTTTTGTTTGTTTGTTTGTTTGTTTGTTTTATGTAGGTATTAGAGAAGCAACTCCAATCTTCATGGTTCTGCTGACTAAATTGTCTTCTCAGTCCCCCAATTTACCTTTTTAAAAATAATAATCTGGTGTATTATTAATATTTATTGTACTAGATTTTAAAAATTATCAGTCACTTTTGAGCGTTTAAACTTCTATTTAAGTTACTGTATTCGTATAATTTTAATAAAATGTTCATTGAAATAATTAAAACTCTAAAGAGTTGTTTGGTAGGAATGGTCTCTCAATTCACTGAAGAATTTCTGCTTTCCCCACGTTAGTGTTGTAGATGTCATTCTGTTCTCCCTGTAGAATGAGCTCAGGACTTTGTTCAATGGAGGTGGGAACAGTGCAGCTCCGACCCGAGTAACAATGGAGATGGCGAGATCTTGCTTCTGCCCCAGGCCCATTGGTAAGTACAATTTAGTAGGCCGCGCATCAGAGCGGCTGACAGGGCTGGGATTCAGGAAATACTTGCTTCATTTTTTCCATTGCCCTGAATTTGACACATTGTCTATGTTGAGAAAAATAGAACAATAGAAAATCACTTTGTATCTCATAGGATTCTTTAATTTATATAAAACAGATTTTAAAGCAGCAGATGATTCCACTGATAACATTTCTGTCTTACTGATTTTAAAGGTTTTCATAGCTCTTATTTATTAAAGGAGTTTAAAATGTTATGAAAGAAATGAAAGAAATAAGGGTTTTTTTAATTGAAAATAGATTCTTCTCTCATACAATACACCTCACCCACAGTTTCCCCTCCATCCACTTCTCCCAGCTCTCCCCCTACCTCTCTTCTCCCACACATCCACTCAGCCTCCATTTCCTCTCTGGAAAAGAGCAGGCCCCTGAGAGATGACAGCCAAATAGAATAAAACAAGATACAGCAAGGCCAGGAAAAAGCCCTCATATCAGGGCAGAAAAGGCAACCTAATAGGAGGGGGAAAGTCCCAAGAGCAGGCAAAAGAGTCAGAGGCACACCTGCTCCCACTATTAGGAGTCCCACAAAAACACCAAGCTAGCAGTCATTACACTTATGAAGAAGATCTGGTCCAGGCCCCTAGAGGCCCTTTGCTTGTCACTTCAGTCTCTGTGAGCCCATATGTGAGCTTGCTTAGTTGATGTATGGATCATGTTCTGGTATCCTCCATTTCTTCTGACTTATACATCTTTCCTTCTCCCTCTTCCATATGGTTTCCCAACTTCTAAAGGGAGGGATCCAATGGAGACCTCCAGTTTAGACTCTCTCTCATCATAATATTTGGCTGGGTCTCTCTGTCTGCTCCCATCTGCTGCTGGAGGAAGCCTCTCTGATGATGACTGAACAAGGCACAGATCTGTGAGTATAGCAGAATGTCATTAAGAATCATTTCATTGATGATTTTTTTTAATTATTCGTTTCTCATGTATTACATCCCAACTGCAGTTTTCCCTCTCTCCTCTCTCCCAGTCCCTCTGGCCCACCTCCCCTCTTCCCCAGATCCACTCCTCCTCCTCTTCTCCTCAGAAAAGGTCAGGCCTCCAAGGGATTATCAACCAACCGTGGCATATCACGTAGTAGTATTGTGTTCCCCCAAATATTGTGCACTCTAATAAACTTATCTGGGGTCAGAGACAGAACAGCCACAATATTAAACATAGAGGTTAGGCAGTGATAGCACACGCCTTTAATCCTAACATTCCGGAGGCAGAGATCTACCTGGATCTCTGTGTGTTCAAGAATAAAGCCAAGCATGGTGACTCATGCCTTTAATCCCAGAAAGCAAGCCTTTAATCCCAGGGAGTGATGGCAGAAAGTAAAAAAAGATATATAAGGCGTGAAGACCAGAAACTAGAAGTAGTTGGCTGGTTAAGCATTCAGGCTTTCGAGCAGCACAGTTCAGCTGAGATTCATTCTGAATGAGGACTCAGAAGCTTCCAGTCTGAGGAAACAGGATCATCTGAGGAACTGGCAAGGTGAGGTAGCTGTGGCTTGTTCTGCTTCTCTGATCTTCCAGCATTCACCTCAATACCTGGCTCCAGGTTTGATTTTATTAATAAGACCTTCTAAGATTCCTGCTACAATATCATGGCAATAAGACTAGGCACAACCCCTCATATTAGTTAAGGGTGGATGAGGCAACCCAGTAGGAGAAAAAGGGTTCCAAAAACAGGCAAAAGAGTCAGAGACAGCCCCTGCTCCCCTCCCACAGTTACTAGTCTCACAAGAACACCAAGCTACACAACAACTACATATATGTAGATGACCTAAATAGAACCCATGTACATTCCCTAGTTGTCAGTTCAGTGTCTCCAAGCCCCTTCAGCTATGGTTAGTTGATTCTGTGGGTTTTCTTGTGATGTCCTTGATCTCTCTGGTTCCTGCAATCCTTCCTCCCCTTCTTTGGCAGGATTCCCTGAACTCTGCCTAATGTCTGGCTGTGTGTTTTTGCATCTGTTCCCATCAGTTGCTGGATGAAGCCTCTGTAATGATGATTTTGCTAGGCTCTGGTCTATGAGTATAGCAGAGTGTCATTAGGAATCATTTCACTGATTTTTTTTTTTTTTTTTTTTTAGTCCGGTTCTGATTGGTTCTACCCTGGGTCTCTGGTCTTTCCTGCCTCTGATTCCTAGCCATCCAGGCAGTGTCAGGTGTGACCTCCCTTGAGGCCGTGTGGGTCTCAAGATAGACTAGTCATTGGTTGGCCACCCCCACAATTTCTGTGCCACCTTTACCCCAGAACATCTTGAAGGCAGAACAAAGCGTGAGTTGAAAGTTTTGTGGGTGGATTGGTGTCCCAATCCCTCCACTGGAAGCCTTGCTTGGCTACAGAAGGTGTCAGGCTCAGGCTCTGTACTCCCTATTACTAGGAGTCTTTGCTAGGGTCACCCTCGTAGAATCCTGGGAGTTTCCATTGTACTAGGTTTCTATCTCACCCCCAAATTACCCCCAGTTCCAGTCATCTTTCCCAGTACACTCTCCCTCAGTCCTCCCCACACACCTGATCCCTCCTGCTTCCATCCCCACCGGCCCCCAATCTACCCACGAAATCTAGTCTATTCCTCCTTCCCAGGGAGATTCATGTCTATTTTGTTTTGTTTTATTTTTACCTTTTATTTATTTATTTTTTTGCCAGTCAAGTTTGAGAACCTTAAACGTTTAAATAATGGTTTAATCTTAAAAAGACCTATACTCTATGGTCTCTTTATCTTTAATTGTTTTATACACACATATGCACTCCTAAATACATAAATATGCTACATCTAAATACATAAATGTACAGTCTGTATATGTTACCTGTATGTATAAGGTCTCGGGACTGACTACTTGATACTGGACAACCAACTGGGGGCTCTTACCTAAGGAAGACTATTTCTCATGCTCTCAGTATTCCCTAGTTGCTATAGTTCTTAGTATGGAGGCTCCATGAGTTTTTCCCTGTCAATGTTAGTATGTCCATTGGCATTGCTGTTGTTTTGGGCTCGTTTAGACAGCCATATCAATAAGACTTCATGAGTGTAGCTTCTCTGACATTTCTAGGAGACACAATCCTACAACAAACATCTTGGTTCTCTGCCTCCCACCATATTTCCACCCCTCTTCTGCAATGATTCCTGAGTCTTAGGTGCTTTGTGTTGTCGATGTGTGAGCTGGGACTGGGCACCACATAATCCCTTGATCTCTACATTGTGGCTGGTTATAGTTTAAGCCTCTGTCTGTTGCAAAGGGACATTTCTTTGACAAGGGTGAGGATTATATGCTCCTCTGTGGGTACAAATGTTTAGAATGTAGTAAGGGATTGTGCTGGTTTAGTAGAGAGACACTTGTATGATATTCTCCAAGATCCATGGCTTCACTAGCTCCAGGTAATTTACTAGTACCAGGCATGCTTTCATGGTCTCTCTCTTGTTGAGTGGGTCTTAAGTCCAAATGGAGAGTTGTTAGTTACAACCAAGGTATCTATAACAATGTTGTACTTTTAGGGTTATTGTGTCTCTTAACAAGACTAAATATGCTTAATGTCACAGAAAGATATAGTGGGACCTAAACAAGTATTCTGACTCTTTTCCCATGGTGCTGTCTTAGTTACTTTTCTATTGCTGTGATTAGACACAATAACCGAGGCAACTTATAAAATCAAATGCTTAATTTGGGGCTTATAGTTTCATATGGTAGGATCCACGATAGCAGAAAGACAGGGCAGCAGGAGCAATGAGAGTTTGCACCTTGATTCACAAGTATCAGGCAAAAAAAGAGACACCGGGAATAGCACAAATCTTTTGAAACTTCAAAGACTGCCCTTAGTAACTCATCTCTCCCAACAAAGCTGTATTTCCTAACTCAAATAGTTCCACTAACTGTGGACTAAGTATTCAAATACATGAGCCTCTTGGATCCATTCTCATTCAAACCACTTCGGATGCTGTGTAGGATCTACAGAGAGCCATCCTCTCCTCTTAGGAACTTTTGCTTTTCTCTTGCTTCCAGATGTTCCAACAACATCCACCTCAAGGAAAATGGGACTCCAACTTGCTTCCTTCCCTTGAGACACGGTGTTTATGGTGGGCTGTGAGCTTAGGCCTCTATAAGGCTCGGAAGGTAAATGAAAAATCCTGTGTCTTCTAAGGTATTTAAAGCGTGGGTCATCAATATAAGTTACTTTCACGAGTGTGGCTGACCCTCTTAAAAAGTAGGAGGTAGAGGGTGACAGAAAGATCGTAAAAGCCAGAGATCAGGAGTCTTACACAAGATGGGACTGCTGTGCTTGTGAACTCAAAGCAGCTGTGGTTCCATGCACAAGACCTATCAATCCAGTTAACATTCTGGCATGGGAGGACTCATGAACCCTCCACTGCCAAATTGAGGAACTATTGATAATTCATGATTTCTGGGGGATGGCATAAGAGTCAGTTTTCTTTAAAGACATGGCCTTTGGTAGGTTGACTACACTCTAGTAGATGGCCCCATACTTATGAGTTTTTAAGGGCAGCACAAACTGAACTCTATGGGTTATTATTATTATTTTTTTTAAAGAACACATGATTTTGGAGGGAGTGGGGAGGCAAGGTGCATCTATGAGAAGTCAGGAGGGAAGAGTGGGTGATGAATAGATCAAAAGACATCATATGAAATTCTCAAAAAATTAATAAAACATACACACTCATGGAATTGATAGTTAAGTGGAAACCACTTCTGGCTATTCTTTCCTGTAAACAAGCATGGCCAGGTTGCTGCTTTCATCCCTTTTCAGTACGGAGTCACGGCAATTAGCTAAGTTCAGAACTAATACAATCATTTGATGAAAACTCTAGACCCCTCATTAAACATACCTTTCTATACTCACAGATGCCTGAGGTTTGTATATGTTTGCATTGTGTTTCTAGTTGGTTTCCTGGAATTGATGTGAATCTCAGTTTGAAAATTAGGGTACTCTTTGTCTGTTTCCACCACCACTGTATGCAGCCTGGGTGAGGGAAATTCCTGATAGCCTCAGCCTTTTAAACTCTCATATGTCCATGGCCATTACTGTGGGAATCAGCAGTTACTCTCACAGAAGAAGTGGAATAGAATTTTCCTTATTGCTTGGTTGTGAATTTGCCTTCCAGAATGTAGTAGGCTTAGAGTTTTGAGCCTCACCCTCCAGACCTTTAAAATTTCTCCCTTTTCTCTTGTGTCTGTATTGATGGCAAGAGTGTGGCTGAAGCAAGTTGGTGGATGTGAACCCACCGGATAGAAGCTAGCTAGTGAGAAGAGAAAAGATACATATAGTAGTGACATTTGTCTTTGTTATTGTAGATCATGCAGCTATCAGCCCTTCCCTAGATACACAAGCAATTGTAGCTAAAGCTAGCCATGCTTCCCAGATGACTCTGAGAGAACTAACTGCTGGTGATTGTTCGGTGCTGCTGAGGTTTCATGATGGTTTGTTATGCAGAATTGTAAGGGCTATAGAGACTTGGGGATGATTAGCCATGACACTCGGTTTTTTCCTTGCTCAAGTTGCTGACAATGTTGAAAAGACTGGGAGCTTGAAACCTGGATTTCAGCAAGGCAAAAAGTAGCAAGATTTTCCCTTTTTTCTTTTTTTGATATGTCTTTTCCTGTTGAAGAACTGAGAGGATACAGTTGAATACTCTCTGATGTCTGGGTCCTAGGATGCTATGGCTTCTGCCTGTTTGACACCACAAGTGGTGTTCATTGTTCCATTAATTCACCTTTTGGCTTCGCTTATCCAAAGTCCTTTTCTTTGTTTATTGTTCCATTTGGAATCATTTTGTTTAAAATTACCTAAAAGCCAATTGGTTTAAAATCAGCACTGCATTTTTTTTCATGGTTTTTGACTCAGGCATTTGGGAAAGGTCCAGCTGGTCCATTTTCCTTAGATGTTTTCTTGTAGGATTAGTCAGATGCTAGCCATCACAATGCTTTCCAGAACTGGACTGCTAAGGTGGCCCATGCAGCTAGTCACTGTTCCTGCTGTTGGCTGAGAACTCACCTGCACAGTTCTGCAGAATGTCTAGCATTGTCTACAGGTCATCATCTATTGGTCTTAGGCTTTCCTGAGAGTAAATGTTTCAATGTGAAGCAGACCTGATCTCTCTTTATAGGAACCTCTGCACATTCAGACTTGTTTTAAATAACGATTTTGTTCTGTCTTCTGGCTAAAAATTGTTTATATCCCTCTGCTTGCAAAGTACGCTGTCCTCATCCCCAGAACCTTCTAATGCCTTCTCTTCCAGTACGTGTTTAAGGTTACAGGCCTAAGGTCTCATAGATAAGTTGTGATAATAGTTCAGTGCCTTTGATTTAAAAAAAAAATAATGAGTGATAAAGAAGCAATGGTGGCACATGCCTTTAATCCCAGCACTTGAGAAGCAGAGGCAGAAGGATCTCTGAGTTCAAGGCCAGCCTGGTCTACAGAGTGAGTTCCAGGACAGTCAGAGCTATGCAGAGAAACCCTGCAATAAATAAATAAATAAATAAATAAATAAGTAAATAAATAAATAAATAAAAAGCAAGTTATCTGCCTTGACATATCTAATATTGTTGACACAGACACAGGATATCTACAGTATATATGCTAATCTAAAAGGCGTAAATGTGAGATATGCAGAGACACTGGCCCCATGGCTCAGGCCCAGTTGCATACATTCTTCAGTTTCACTAGGGCCTAGTTCTCCTGAAAGCAAAGGTTAGCATAAGGAAAGGACTTTATTTCATAATGAAAAATATATATCATATTTTAAAGGTATAACTCTTATTTTCTGATAGAATTATGTGCATTAAACAACTATATATAATATTTTCAGCATGTAGGTGTGGATGACAAAATTAATGTAGAAAAATGAAATACAAAGGCTGTGCCCATGGAACAAGATTTCAATCAAGCCCAAGTGATTTGACTTTAGGCTCCTTGCTTTTAAACATGATGCAACTTCATCTCTACATGTCAAGGAAATGATATAGCATGAAATAGTAAAACGACTGGACTTAACAATTCTTTGGACAATGTAGGGAAGGGTGTTGTCTTCAGAAGACATCTCAGCTAATGTCATTTTTGTTTTCTTTTTTTTACAACTAAAATGTTCCTAACTTTTCAAGATTTGGCTTCACCTCATATTGTATATATAGTAGTTTCATCTCACAAAACCACAGGTCTATTTATCTCCAATTTCCAATAGCACTCTGTCCCATGTATTTTGTTCATTTATAGATTCAATGATTTATTCACTTATTGATTACCTTATCAATTCATTGCCTGTCTTTATAGCATCAGTTGTTTTTCCAGGTACTCTGCTAGGCACTATGGTATCCTGAATACAAAATGGATTGTATTCAGATTTTAGTCTAAAGTAACAGAATATATATATACACATCTGTATAGTTTGCATTATTGTAGAATTGTCTTGTTATGTTTTACCACTCGGTTTTTGGATTGAAATTTATGGTATTTCTTTCCTTACCATTGTACCTCTGTGGTTATAGACACATAATAGGGGTTTGAAAAGGACCTCCTCTTTTAAACATACAATGTTAATCCTTTTAGGTGAATCCACATAGTGTTTTGAAAACATACTGCTAAAACATTTTATGAAAACAAGAATTGTTTAATTCAATAGCTTTGTCAACATCCTTTGTACTATGTAACTCTTTCTGGGACTGGTCAGTCTGTTCAGATTTGAGTTAATGCTGAATTTGACCACAGAATCTTGGCTATGGCTGCTGAAGGTGTGCCACAAATACCCCACCAATTTCTAACTCATTGAAGGAAAATGTCACATTTGCTCACCTTTGACTTAGCTCCAAATTGCTCACATATTGTACCTAACAATCAATGCCAACTTGCAATATTTTTTGAGAAGACGAATATGAGATACAACACATTTATGAAGCACACACAGAGCACTGGCGGTGAGAACAGCTGTTCAATTATCCATTTGAGTCCAGAGCCTCCAAATACATCATGTTCAGAGTTGGGAGATCTTAGTAATTAGTCTGTCACACGGAAAACATGGCAAAGAAAGTTAGCTGTGCTGTTGTTGCAGCAATCAATTCAAAAGTGAGAAAAACCCAATTAACTAACTAGATTGTGTTAAGTAGAGAATAATTTCCCTATTTTTTCCTCCTTATTGGAAGTGATAGAGTCCTAGAACCTGTCACTTCTCTTCTTCTGACACTCTGGGTTTGAGAGCTTTTCTTGAAGAAATGAAGTAACTGATTTTTCACATTTAGAATGAATGTCCATTGGGAAAGTGAAGAGACACATTTATTCATTGATTCATATAATTTTGCAGAGGTAATCTTTTGTCCTTATATACCTTAGCGTGAAAAAAAGGAATATTTTGTTCAAATTAATTCAATGATTAATTATTCTAAGTTTAGGTTACATTTTCTGTTACTAGTTTTTCTTACAAATCCCCTTTGTGTGTAAGGTCATCCTTGTAGTTTTTATAGAACAAAACATTTTTTTCATAACATTGCTGTGTCAATAGATTTTTACTTATAAGAACATGAGTTTGCTAATTAGACTCCCAGCGCTCCACCCGGGGGGGCCTAGCTATGGATGTCTGCATCCAGATTCCTCAGTCCTTGGATGGGGTTTCTGGCACAACTATTAGGGTGTTTGGCCATCCCATCACCAGAGTAGGTCAGTCCCGGCTGTCTCTCAGCCATTGCCAGCAGTCTTTTGTGGGGGCATCTTTGTGGATTTCTGTGGGCCTTTTAGCACTTTGTTTCTTCCTTTTCTCATGTGGTTTTCATTTACCATGGTCTCCTATTCCTTGTTCTCCCTCTCTGTTCTTGATCCAGGTGGGATCTCCCGCTCTCTTTCCCTCGACCCTCGCCTTTCATTACCCCCACTCATGTCCAGGCTGTTCATGTAGATCTCATCCATTTCTCCGTCATTCAGCGATCCCCGTGTCTTTCTTGGGGTCCTGTTTTACAGGTAGCCTCACTGGTGATGTGAGTAGCAGTTCAGTCACCCTTGTTCCACATCTAGTATCCTCCTATGAGTGAGTACATACCATATTTGTCTTTCTGAGTCTGGGTTACCTCACTCAGGATGATTTTTTCTAGATCCATCCATTTGCCTGCAAACC